ATGATCTGATTGAGAAACAATAAAAGGGTTTAAAACCAATCCAATTTGTGATCAGAGACCAGCTACATCCACCTAAACTCATACTTTTAATACTTCTAAGTTTCCTATAGGTCTTCCCTCTAAAATTAGGATGTTTTTCTTTTCTGTAGTCAGTATTTAGTCAATATTTCTCACAAAGCTAAGTGTCAAACGCCTACTCAGAATTTTCAGAGCAGAAAAAAAAATTGTATATTCAGACTTGGGTTTCAAACTTTGAGGGCTAACCGCATGCAGACCATACACATATAGAAGTATAGTCAAACCAAATGCATCCTAGACTGTGTAAGAGTCTAAGATCCAATGGACATAAAGACATTTTGAACTGTCAGGGAAAGTCTTGTGTTTGTCCACTATTGTCTCTGAATATAATAAGGACTCAAGGTCCAGGAGAAGTATTTCAATATTCTGAAAGGAGAAATTTTCACTTTGTTTCCATGCTCTTAGCAATGAGTTTGCTCCTTCTCTGTGTTGCAAACTCAGAGAAGTTGTATTGGTCAGGGCGATAACAGCTTAGCAGGCTTTAAAGAGATATGAATACAACTGTATTAAAAGTCTCTAGTGTATTTACTTATCAGCTCTCAATTCCAGACTCAGCTGGCAAGACAGATGTCTATGAGAACCAATGGTGGGACATCCAATTTGATCAAAGGAAGACCTGGGTTGGGTGTAGGGGGAGTACCTTGATACTAAAAACAAAACAAAACCACATAAAATATTTCATCATGACCAACCAGTTAGATGTACACATTAAGAAGAAATGTGGAGGAGAAGGCACCTTGGTGTGAATGCTCAGCCATGGACCAAAAAACTAGGAAAATAAAGACCGAAAGCCGAATTAGAACACACGGTGAGACACACTGGCTATCTTCCTGTTCTGGGCTTTTAGGAGCTCTGACATAATGTGTCCATGAAAGGATTACAGCAGGCTAGTTGGCTACACGCTGGGAAAATACGAGAAAAAGAGAAGTGAGAAATCAGTGCAGCACTACATCCTTGGTTTGTCTAGTTAATGCTTATTTCCTTATTTGGAGACAAAGGAGAAAGCCATCCTTCAAACAATAGGAAAGCTGAGAATCTGCACAGACAAAAGCAGATCTGTGTAAAATTGTGGAGACTAATACACAATGTTTGCAAATAACTAAAATACAAGCAAAAGGGAATAATCTGGAAAATTTTTCTGTTGTGTCCCTGTATCTCTGTGTACTTGTGCATTTGGAGGCTAGGTGTCATTCCTTAGGTGCTAACTACATTTTGGGGGGGGGGGTGGAGAGAGAATAGGTCCTCTCACGGGCCTGGACCTTTCCAAACAGTCTCGGCTAGCCCCAGGGATGTGCCTGTATCCACCTTCCCAAAATTGGGATTAAACGCATGTGCTACCATGCCCACCTTTTTACATGGGTTCTGGGGGCTTGAACTGAGTCTTCGTTTACTTTACTGAACAAATTAAGCTTCTGAGCCTCTACAATATGTCTTAGCTACATTGCTTGTAGTCTACAGTGCATTTTCCACAGTTCCATGGGACAAAAAGAAAAGCCATTAGGATTCACTCCTAGATTCCTCTCACATATATAAACCAAGGGAGGGACAGTCGAGTCTGCTTTGAATTAAAGCTATGAACATCACACTTTAAAACCAAAACCAAACTGTTGGGAGTTTATTCTTGCTTTGTCTCACCAAAACCAAGAAGTTTCAGAAACTAGAATTCTGTAGCTCTGAACTACCTTAATGATTTAAGAAGCTGGAAACAATGACTTTTGCATGTTACTACAACTGAAAATAAAATAGATCACTCCAATACGAGCACATGTTTCTGGGACTGTGTGTTAATTAGGGACACTAGTTATGGCTAGCATTTTCTTGTTATTGCTTGAGGATCAGCTCCAATGCCCCATCAGGCTTGATGAAGGCCCGAGAAAAAGCTCCAGAGTGGGTGTGACTTACCTCACACAACTGAGTTCTAAAGGGGAAACAACTTGTGCAGGCTACATTTTGTCAACTTGACACAAGCTCTGGTCATCTGGGAAAAGGGCATTTCAACTGAGAAAATGCTTTCATCATTTTCTTGATTAGTGACCGCTGTAGGAGGACACAGTCCACCGTGGGAGATGCTGCCCCTAGGCTGGTGGTTTTCAGTGGTGCAAGAGAGCAAGCTGAGCAAACCGCAGAGAACAAGCCAGTAAGCAGCACATCTCCAGGGTCTCTGTTTCAGTTCCCACCTCCACCATCCTGCCTCAACTTCCTTCATGATGGACAAAACACTGTAACATGAAATAAACTCTTTCTTTCCCAAGATGCTGTTGGTTATGGTGTTTGTCACAGCAATACAAAGCAAACTAGGACACAGCTTTATTATTTTAATCTGTGGTATAATACATCACCTTATGAACCAAAGGAACTGGGCCATGCTTTTATAATGAAATCTACATACTGAATGACAAATTACTGTAACACGAAAAATAAAAGCCCCAGAGACTGATATTAGGGTTCAAGCTTTAAGCTGAGTATCAGAAAAGCAAAGCAGCCAGCTATATGTTAGTTGTAGCCTTCTTCATGTATTAGACAAAAAAGGGGATTTGAGGTATTGTTTACAATTTATTAAAGTTTGCCTAAGGATTCAGAAAGCAAAATCAGCCACAGGCCATAGAAGTCAGGCACACACTTTTAATCCCAGCAGCCAGAAGCTAGGAGGTGGTGGTACACACCTTTAATCCTATGACTCAGGTTAAACTGATCTTTCTGAGTCCAAGGCTACCTAGATCTACACAAGAGTGAATTAGTTAAAAGGAGAATTAGAGTTCACACCTTTAATCCCAACATTAGGGAAGTATATAAGATCTCAGAGAGGCATTCATTCTCCAGCCACATTGAAGAGGTTTGGTGAAGAGCTCCTGAATGGATCAGCCCTTTTAGCCTGAGCCAGAGGTGAGAGCCAGTGGCCAGTGCTTTGCTTTTCTGATCTTCAGCTTGAAGCTTGAACCCCAATATCAGTCTCTGGGTCTTTTATTAATTTGTGTTACAAATTACTGGTAGAAATTAAAAGATGTCTGATAAAAAATGTTACTGAACTAATATACTTTTATAGTAACCAAACAACCAACAGATCAGATTTCTATTGTAACATGGGGTGGAATCTGTAATGATCAGATAAACAAAGAACCTGGCTGTTGTGCTACTTAGCTGACAAATTATTTAGAGAACTGATTTCCTTGTTATTTTGCTAATTTAAAAGTGCTAAATTGATTGCCATTAAATCATAACATGTACTTCTTTGTAGACACAACATATTTAATGGGCATAAAATGTGTATTGGTAGACACTTTACTCTTGCTAGTATGTAAACAGAGGAATGAAATTATATGTATTTCTTCCATTTTCTGTGTAGGTGACATATGTAAAATTTATTTTAGTGGGTAGCAAACTGAATATAAGAAATGAGGATCTACACAGCAAAAGTCTCATTGTCTTTGGTTCATGTGCCTTATTCTGATTAAAAATTTTTTTTTCTAACTGTTTGGATATCCTGGTACCCACAACATAGCAATGAACCCATAGGCAGGTTACAATATGTCTAAAGTAAAAACTATAGTCTCCAAGAATTATGGAATAACAAATGGGTACAGATTAAGAAAAAGAACTGGAGAGATACAATAGTAAACATTTCAAAGGCAATGGCCAGCTGACATTTTGATAACTGAAAATTATGTATTTTACTGTGCTTGTAGGCACATTTCAGATCACGGGTTAGTGGCTGACTGACAGGCCCTGCTCATTGGCTGATGCAAACCTCTGCATGCTGGGTATGAACTGTAATGAGAATATTAAGACTTGTAAAAACTAAGCTATCTTAAAAAGGTCAAGAAGCCAGAAACTCTTACATACCTAAAAAAGAAGTGTGTGTTCAAAGTAAATTTTGACATACTAGACCTCAGTTTACCCAACTGCTGGGGATTTCTCAGTTCCTTCTTTGTTTTCTACCTTTACTTAATGTCACTGGTCTCTCCACCTGCAAGCTCTGGCAGAAGTATTAATCACATCTCCATTCAGACACACATACTGTGAACTTTAGCTCACAGGCTGTTTCCTACACCCTTAATTATCTTCCACAGTCAACTCTGACTCATCAATCCTCCCTACTCTCAAAATCCATGTCTCCACCTGTTGACTTTCCCTGCAGCAGAGAGGAGAGCCTGAAACAGAACCAGCTCTCCAGACTGGCGTGTGATGAACAGCTCCTCAACAGCTCCCTGCTTAGTAGAGACTATGTTACACAACAGCCCAAATAACACACTAGCAGCAGAGGGTCCGTGTCACCAGGACACTACGTGGCTTCACAATGGAACTGATTTTGAACCCAGTTACAGAGTTAGTCACATCTGTCAAGTGAAGGTTTTGTATGCCCACCCATCAAACCAACAACGTTTTTAGACAAAATGAAAGCAGAACAAAACAGGGTGACTCAGTCAGTACTTCCAGTTCTATCCTGCAAGGAAGGCTATGGAATGAGCTTGTGATTAGCCTAGGGCTCTCCATGATATTTTCATTTTCAGAACCTCTGCACAGTGTTAAAAGCATCAATCAGGCACACGGACCTGCTTGCATTCTGGACAGTGTATTGTACGTTGGTTTTACAGAGTTATTTATGAGTAGTTGAAGCATATAGATAGGTAAGATAGCTCAGCGGGTAGAGGTGCTTGGAGCCAAGCCTGAGAACCTGAGTTCCATCCCCAGAACCCACCCCCACAGGTTGTCCTATGATTCACATGTGCACTGTTATATATGTGTACACACAAAATAAATACACTAATGTAATAAGAACTAAAAATGTAAACTGAAAAAAAAAAGGTCCTGAAATAGTGGTAAAAGTAATGACTTCAATGCATTTATTCTACATCCCACTTCTTGCCACTTATTCCTATCAGGTACTAAAATGATAAATTGCTATCTGTCCAAAGAGCACTTACCTCATTGTCTGACTCCACAAGAACTTGATCGTATTCACTAAGCGCTACTAGAAACATGATCGAGGTGACATTTTCAAAGCAGTGTATCCATTTTCTTCTCTCTGATCTTTGGCCCCCTACGTCAACCATTCTGCAAAGTTAACAATATTCATATTAATAATAAAGAAAAATTTAAGATTATCAATATAATACTACTTACAATCTAAGGAAAATTCAATACTTGAAAGACAATGGCATTCAGGTCAGTTAATGCTTATCGACTATCTATTAATTGTCTGTTACCTGACAGAAACATGGCATGGTAGGTAATAAATCACTAGGAAATTAGTAGATATGCATGAAAATTGTAACTATGTAAAACTTCCTATTTGTGCCAAGCAAAATAGTATTTTATTAAATTATACACTGCAAAGGCAAACACAGGATGTTTTTATGTTAAGCCCAAATAGCAAATAATAAATTTCACTTTCATTTCCTAGATGTCAGAGTGAAGACCCTCAGGTTTTACTTGAGGATGCCAGGAATGACCATTGATACATTAAAGAATACAAAATGCCATATAGTTCCCATAAAAGGAGGGTACTAAATGTAAACATGATCCTGCCTATACTTCCTTCTGTAGGATAAGAATTTGGGATCTTTTCTTTCAGTATTGGCAATAATTTAGGACAGGTCCAACCATATCATCATTTGGACCATCATTTGAACTATTTCCTGGGTCTGTTTTTAACACATTCACTCTGCACTTGGTTATCCTCAGACACCAGCATGGCCACCAAGAATGGAGTGGAAGTATGTGTTTGTGCATTCTAGCAATGCCTGACACCAAATCAGCTCCTCCAAATTGCTGGCTTCATCTTGACTGATACACACAACATTCAGGAAAGAAGTCTCAGAAAATGCGAAGGTTCGGTATGAGAAGAACAGTGCTCTGTAAGAATCTACAGAACACAGTGCCTGCTCTTGGCATGTTCCTGATTCTCATACTAAGTCCAAAGGAAGGACTGGAAGAACTTCCGTTTCTTTGAATGTGCTTTTAGGGGTGTATGCATGCGTGCTCATGTCTGCATGTTTGTGTGGAGGACAAGGATGCCGATTAAGAGGCTTCCTCTGCTCCTTTCCTCCTTGAGAGACATAGGGTCTCTTACTGAACCTGGCTCATCAACTGGCTACACTAGATGGCCAAAGAGCCCCAGGGGCCTTTCTGTCTTTGAACCTTCTACTCTCCAGACCTTGGGTCAACAGGCATGTGTTACCACACCTGGATTTTTATGTGGATCATGGAGACCCACAAGCAATGTGCCTTATTGAATGAGCCATCTCCCCAGCCCAGAAATCAAGCATCATTCACACTACCATTTCTAAAAGACTACAAAGGCAGTGGGGTGAGATAAAAGGGGGAAAGCATGGGTCCATGAGACCTGTGAGCTTTGGACGTCAAAAGTGGAACTTTTAGGTGTTAAAAATATTAAAATGCTAGCTCTGCCCCAGCGCCACTATGTGAAAATATGCAACTCATTTACACAGAACTCCTATTCAAGGAAGTCCTACTGCAGAGAACCAATTCTATGCATCTGAGGATGACAGGAAATCAGACCCTGAAGTCATTCATTACTTTCATCATAGTAGCAAAAAGTATCCTTCAACACTAGCGCACAAAATGTGTCAAGAATGAGATGGAATCCTAACCAATTTTTGAAATTGCAAAGCAACCTAGATGTGAAAATCTACAAGAAGTACTGCATGTTTTTTGAAAATTTTCTCTAATATGGCTTAAGTAAATTTCAGTATCCAGATGTTATAAACTCAAAATATGTAATACAGAATGCTAGCCCCAGGAACTTGGTGGTCATCTTAATGTACCAATTACAGATTAAAAAAAGAGGTTCACAAGTATTTTCAAGATGCTACCTATTCACAGCCACGTACTTCTGAGCAGTATATTGTGGCAAGATTACACTGCAGGTGCAAAGAATGAATAGAGTAAAATAATAATAATGACAACAACAATAATAACAACAACAAAATAGATAAATGAATGAATAAATAAATAAAGCAAAAATTGGTGCTTTGGCAACAAACAGACTAACACACATCAAACTCAGTCCCACAGCAGAGACATGCTACAGGGGGAGCTACATGAAGGCGGCTTCACGGCCTCAACACAGGCCCATCCTAAGTGAGTAGGACCCCTTGAGGTCCAGCTCAACACTCAAGTCAAAGACATACATACAGGCTCCTTTTCTTAAAGCTCTAAGTGGTTTGTACTCCAACAAAAAGTACAACCAAGTGATCGTGAAACAGTAAAGTGAAAAGATAGTAGTATTGTTTTTCTTATCTTAAAAAAAGTCCCAGTTGAAGCATTAAGACAAACAACAACAGTGAACAGGGAAATAATAAACTTCCATTCTTTGCCATTTCAATTTATATTAAGTTAATTATATTAAGTTAAAAGCATGAAATTTGAAACTCTCAAGCATTTTATTGTATAAAATAAAACAGCATGATTTTGTTAATGCTACAGAGAAATTCTAATTTGGTACCAAAACACATGGGGAAAATATCAATATGGAAGTCTTCAATGGCAGGAATGCTGGTGCTGGTTCCTGTCTAAAATCCCAGCAACTGGGAGGCTGAGACAGGGGAATTGCTGTGACTTCAAGGCTAGTCTGGGCTACAGAGCGAGACCCTATCTCAAAAACAAAAAGTTTCTGAAAAAATATAGTTGTTATTACTGATAAGATTATATATCTTGCAAAATTTCTAAAAATATATTCAGTATCCTCAGTGTGTGTGTGTATACATATGTACATATAGTGAAGACCAATGTTCAAGTAACTGCGTTCTACCACCAGCAACTAAGATTAACTGCCTTGTTATTTGGCCAGAATGAATATCTTTCTTTTGTTTCCTCTTTCACTGATACATTATTTCAGCTGTATATCCAAATGATGACAATCCCCACAAAGCTGCAGGCATTAAACTCTATGTATGTAGGTGTTAAAGAACTCAGTTATTACCTGAAAATGACACTTTGTAAGTCAAAGGGGTATTCGATGATCCCTGTGGTGGGGACTCGAACTCTAAGCACATCTTGTTGTGTAGGCAGATAGGAAGGGTCGGCTACACGATCCAAGTCATTCAGATAGCTAGAAGAGGGAAGACATGAGAATGTCAGTTATCATCACTCCAAACTCATGGAAGGGAAAAAACAAAACGAGTCATAGAAAAAGAAATCAGAAAGTGACAATCTAGGAAACAGATATGGTCAACCTTCCATTGCTCAGAGGAAGGCTCTCCACCCACTGCTGCCTACTCACCATATTCCCATTTTCTCATCATAGGGAACGCGCACCAAAGTAAGTTAGTCTCCTACCCTCTATTTGTTTAGCAGGCTTGGCTGGCAAATCAGGAGCTACATAAAGTTTTCAACTATTTATACAAAGTGAATTTGCACAAACAACAATATAACAAAGCTGAGTATAAGGTCAGGACTTATCTTCTCCTTTGTTGGCAGAACATCATTCCCCCACCCCCTTGGAGGAAGCTTGTTCATTCCCCTGAGAGCAGGCAGACAGCGGCATACCATGTCTTTAATTATGTCCAAAGCCCAAGTCATTTGTTACTTATGCAAATCCGTGAGATTTTAAGTTATAATGATGATGATGATGTCTGAGACCAGACCTTCTTTAGAGCCACCTACACCAACTTTAAACGTATCTGGCCATTATACCTATACAATTCCTTGCGGGGGAAATCAAACATTAAAAAAAATAACTTTGTACTCAAAGAAATTTATCAAATTATCACAGAGAATTTCTTCAATGGACTTTCCCTTAATGACAAAACCTTATGTATCTATATTATATTTTTAAAAACCCAAGAATCTGATGTTTTAGCAAAATTAGAAAACTCATGGTATTATTTATAAAACCACAGGCCTTAGTTATGGGTATTCGTACATATCCATGCGTATGAGTTTGTGTGTTCACCACATATAGATATCTGTGTAACCACCACCACAATCAGGGTGTACAACTTTCCACTTGGCATAAAGAAAATAACTGACGTATTGTATTATCATTGCTAATTCTAACCCCTGGCAAGTACAAATTCACTATCAGCATGGTTCTGCCATTCCCAACACCCATTCTATTCACTTTCCACTCTCTTGAAGTGTAGGACTTAAGTTGTAATGTCACGAATGACACAATTTGACAGAGGCCAGGTGGAAATGACTGCTTATGATTTCAAAGAGGAACTATACATACTCTCCTCTGCCCTGGAAATGATGAAGCACAAAAATGGTTTCAAATCACTTGGTTACAAAGTGTCTACACAAAGGTGCTGACTTGTGAGCAGGAGGTAGAACAATGGTGGCAGGGCTAGTAAGACTGGAATATCTCTGCTCCGCAATGCACACAGATAAGACACACTGCGTTTAAATGCTGGGTATTCATGGGTTACATACAACTCAGTCATCACAACACTCACTCGGCGGACAGAAACACCTGAGAGAAAACTGTTCTATCTCCACACATCTTTATTTCTACTTTAGTACCAAGAAAATACTATTTAGTCACTCTTTGTTGGATGGATGGGTTTCCAATAAAGAGATTTAGTTTGAGCATTAAAGCTGCTAGCATTTAATTCTTACTACTGACACTGAATGTAAGAAGAAAATGGTGTTCTCAGCCTGTAAGATCTACAGACTCATAACAGAAGATTCTGACTTTAAAACAGAAGTAAAACGGCTGCCTTGTTGGAAGTGAACAGTCCTTTAAGGCAACAGCAGGCTAGAATTCCTACAGCAAAGCAGTTATTCATACTCAGGCCTTATTCCAGAAAAATGAACACATTTGCAGCCAGCAATGGGCTCTCTGCTGACTAGTGAGAACTCCTTCATGCCTTCAATTACTATAAACCTGGCTAGAGGACAAAAGGGGACTGCTGGGAGAATACAAGTGTAAAACTGTATTTGAGCGAATCTGGGCATAGCCTGGTCACTGGATGGGATGACAAAGCCCATGTTCTGTGGATTGACTGTATCTCCTCTACAGATAAAGTAGCTCATACCAGATACAAAACAGGCTACTCTGTACAAACTCAACTTTGTAACTTATCAGAGCCTTGATTTAAAAATTAAGCATATATTCAAAAATCTATGTGACCATTATTTATATACAAGAACTCAGAAGTTTTAGAGAAATCAAGGAACTCTGCATTTACAGTGGCAAGATGAAAAAGAAACTAAGAAATATGCTGCCACTACAGTTATATCACTCTCACATGTCAGGACAGAGGGCTGTTAATTCCCATGTACATGGTGCTGAGGTAGTCTAGAGGTAAAAGGAAATTGTGGTTTTGCTTCCTAAAGATGAACCTTACAAGAGCACCTAACACTGTTCCCAGCTCGCACTGTTTCCAAGCACAAGGCTATGTTTACCAGGGATAATTCAAAGAATCAGTGCATGGACTGGGGATTTTTCTGTCAGACCGAACCATAGGAACATTGATAGCATCTCTCCAATCACGAAGGGGGCACTGAGCTCCCTACAACTGTGTATGACATGGAGCCAGGGTAGGTTCAGCAGTTACCCTATAGAACTATCAGTGGCACTTTTCTGTGACACTGGGTACTACTGAGTTGTCTCCACACTTTCACACTATGAGGGTTCTCTTCCCTCTTTATCCTTCTTACAGCTCTTGTAGAGTAACTACTACTTACACTGAGTATTTGCTGCTTGCAGGTTCTGTTCTTAGTATTGCCAACACCATGTCAAGGAAATAGTCTTTTAAAACATTTCATTCAAAGCTGGGCAGTAGTGGCGCACGCCTTTAATCCCAGAACTACTCGGGAAGCAGAGGCAGGCAGATCTCTGAAGTTTGAGGCCAGCCTGGGCTACACAGTGAGTGCCAGGACAGGCTCCACAGCTACACAGGGAAACCCTGTCTCAAAAAATCAAAACAACAGCAACAACAACAAAAACATTTCATTCAGACTAAAGACCTGACTTGGTGGTTAAGAGTACTGGTTGCTCTTCCAGAGGACTGGGTTCAATTCTCAGAACCCACACAGTAACTTACAACCAGTTCTACTTCAGTTCCAGGGAACCAATTCCCTCTTCTGGCCTCTGTCAGCACTAGGCATACATGTAGTGCACAGACATACATGCAGACAAAACACTCATACACAAAATAAGTAGATTAAAAAAAACTCATACATTTCTGATTAAGTTAAAAGTGATGGTCTTGCTGGGCAGTCTTGCTTGGCCTCAGATGAACAGTGCAGGAAAGGGCTAACCTCACTTTAGTTTTAGCAAAAGGAAAAGGCTCGAACACTATCCATCTCTGCTAGTTGCAGTATACACACACCACCTATACCCAAAGCAAATCATACCAGACACACCCCCAAGCAAAGCAGTGACAAAAAACACAGTAACTTACAACCAGTTCTACTTCAGTTCCAGGGAAACAATTCCCTCTTCTGGCCTCTGTCAGCACCAACCAAACTCACCAACCAAATCAAAGACGCATAATCTGTCTATATAATTAATTTTCTACTAAGTGACTCTGAAGGTACAATACTGAAGACAAAATTTGCAAGCAGAAAACAATAGCAGTGAGAACTGCATCTCTCACTGCCCAGAAAGGCCAACGTGAACAGCTTGTGCCTCCAAAGCCCCAATTCATCTGCCCCACTATGGCTTGACAAGCAGGGCTCAGAGGAAAAACTCACAAAAAATTTTTTTTACATTTCATACTGGCTTCATATTACTTTGTACCCCTAAAAGTGGTACCCTAGTGTAGTATGTCCTCTTCATTTATGCCTGTCACATGGAGAGGATGTAATAAAGTAATCTCTAGTTTCTGTATTTTCCATTGAAACATTTCATATTCTCAGTAAAAACTAATGGAAAATGGGAGGTGGGGTGAGTTCATGCTGTTTTATTCCACTCATTTAACCTTTAAAAAAGAAACACCAGGGCCTGAACAAATTTATATTGCAGAGTAAATTCTGAGAGTTAATTATAGCTATAATATGTTTTGTAAGACTAATTCTGAGTGGCTGCTGAGGTCATTCTCGGAGTGTTGCTATGGTGATGGCACAGGTACATTGCCAAGGCAATGCAAGTGTAAAAGGTAGATGGTAGAAGCTCCTTCCTGATGTGAGGCACAGGAAGAAGTCATGGTATACATGGAACTTAATTATAGGAGATAAGTCACTTCTAAGAATGTTTAAAAAAAAGCAAGTTTGGCTCTTTAAGCACCCCTTACTCCCATCCTTTATAGGCCTTCAGTGACTTTCTGCTACATTGAGACACTGAAGAGTTTGATACTGTAGATTAAAAATATTCAGTCTTCTTTCACATACTTTCAAATTCAGTGGTCAGGGTTCATAACTATCTTTGTCTGTGGTTGTATTACCAACACTTGGCTGGGAGCTCCGGGCCACACATAACAGATGCTCAGTGTGCCACCCAAATTAAAACTGTTTTATTGGAAATGCTGCAGTGGCTAGGCAAGTTACACTCCTGAGGAACAAGCATAGGAGCCAGGGGGTGGCTAGCTACCCATCTTTATGCAATTATATTTCTGGGAGATAGCTGGCCTGCATTATGTAAAAGCTAAATTCTGAATTAAAATGCCTCTGACAAATTTAAATACAACAGAGCAAGGAAAGGCACCACTGGTTTAACTTCATTTAGGAGACAAGCTTCCTGCTCTTAAGTCCTGGCCACAGAATGACATAATTGGCATGAGCACACTCATCAGTGTGCAGCTTCTGGGCTTTGGAATTCCATCTAATCCAGTGGAAATTGACAAGGTTGAACCTCTCAACAGACATTTTTGATATAAGCTCTTTAACAGAACACAATTTTGTTGGTTTTCACTAAAAAGTGAGGAAACAAAGAAAGAGACAGCAGTTCCTTTGCCACAGCAAAACACAAAGTCTCCTAGAGATTAGCATCACATTGGACTTGTAGCACTGGTAGAAGCTAAGGACATGAAAATGCTTGCATATGATTCATGGGCTATGCAAGGAGCTTGCCAACACCCAGGACGAACCCCGGAATTTATCTGGATTCAGCATCTGGAAATGCAGTACAAGATTTCAAGTGATAATCCACAAACATCTTCCTGTCCT